CTTTTCTTTTTTCGAGGTATAGAGTTTTTTGAACCAACTAGTCGACCACGCTTCTCACGTATTTGATTTTCATTTATTACAGTAAATTGTCATACAGGGACATCATTTTTTGCTGGTATATATGACTTTGTTACTTTTCTTGTATCAACAAATATATCTGATAATTGATCATTTGCAACTCTTTGCAAATAAATGATTTTTTCAACCTCTTACTCTGATTGTTGCAGGAATCAAAGTGAGGTAGAATTGTTTCATTCCAAGAAATTTTACCTTTTTTTATCATGATATAGTTTTTTCCTTCCCAAAATTGGGAAAGTCATTTCATCAAAATGACAATTGCAAAACGTGCAGTAAATAAATTACCTGTTAAAGGTTCAAGATATCTAATAATAGATGCTGAATCAAAACTCACATAAATCCCAAGTCTTTGTTGCGGGACCATTTTCGTCCATTGTCGGGATGAAATAGGGACTTGAACAGCACAACGAAAAACCACCAAGTGAGAAATATTAGATTCATGACCAAATGTCAATTGCAAAGGTGAATATTTATAATATGCAGTTGGTCTGATACGAACCAATGACGTAGCATGTAATATGGCATGACCCAAAATAAAAGCTGTGAGTTTTGTTTTCATAAATAATGATCTAGCAATAAGTTGTAGACGTTTAATAAATGACTCCATTAACTGATTGTGTAGGACATGTGCAACTAAATGTTCGATAACAATCCTAATTGACATGCAATAATCATCGAATGCTTGTAATCTAAATTCACCAACGTTGTCAAGACCAACAGTCAAAGGCTACATCCCTAGTGGAAAATAAGCAAACTTGTGACTATCTAGTAGAATAATCAATTCTTTCCAAAAAAGTTAGAGATTTAATATTAATATTTGTAGCCGAAGGTCTAATGACTAACTTGCCTTGGGAACAAGCTACACATGGATAATTATTAGGTAAAAGAATGTTCTGATTCTTTAAAGGATGTCCATGTAAGTTATTTATTATTCGACGTATCATTATAACTCCTAGATGTCCTAGTCGATCATGCTAAAATATAAATTTAATAATATTTGGTTCGACCATTTTTATAAATATATAATACATGTCAAATGAGAGTGCATGAAAATTTTATTTTATCTGCTTTTGGCCAAATATAAAAGAAGTTATGCAAAGATATTCAACATTATTTTTTTTGCATTGTCTCAATGTGATATCCATTGCAGCGATATCTATTAAGCAAATTTCTTCTGTATTTGCTAGAATAAAGTGCGTATTTAATATATAATTTTGTATTATTTGGTA